ACAAATCACCAAGCTACAAATAGAGAAGAAGCCAGAAACTTTCCTGTTAGGAATCTTCACTAAAACATATCCTAAAGAAATAAAATATTTGCTGATACATATTCTAATGGCAGTGCGGATAACGTATGCCACGAACTGGAAACAGGAAAAAATTCCAATGAAAGAAGACATAATGAACAAAATTACACAGTGTGCCGAAATGGATATGCTAACAAAAGAGCTAAAGGAAAAGGAAAAGACAGAGTATTACAAAATATGGAATAAGTGGTATCAATGGCATAACGCCACCACCAAAGGAATACAATTAGAAGAAGGATAGGATAAAAGTGTAAATATGTATATAAATAAATTCCTATGGGCAGATAAATCTGTAGAGGGAAATTTAAAATGAAAGGGATAAACCTAATATATAGTATATAGATTAATAAGGGGGAAGTCTTAGGGGAAGAAAAGAATGGGGAGGGGGAAATAGAAAAAAGAAACTATCAGGTTAAAACCAAGGGGAATAAGTACAACTGTATTAATTGAAGGACCAATACGAAACAAATGCTTCAAAAGATTAATGTATTTATATGTTGTTTGTTGTGTAAATGTTTTTATATGTTTTTATATGTGTTTTAATAAAGTTTACAATTTTTTATATATATAAAAAAAGAATGTATAAATATGTTCAAGAAAGAGATGTGGCTTTTGTTTAATGAAAATAAAAAGAAAGACACCTCAATATATAATACTTGGGATACAGCCAAAGCAGTGATGAGGGGACTGGCGAATAAATATTTGGTGGGGCAAATATAAGGCTCAAAGAAAGCAGAGGGAAGCCTTCCTGAACAGCTTACAAAAAGCTGAAGAGACAATGCAAAAGGGTCAGGAAACTGGAAATTGGATAGAAGAGAGGAATTTTTGGCAACATCAGATTGGACTGTTGGATCAGGAAGAGTTAGCCAATAAAATAAAATGGGCAAAGCAAGATCATTTTGAGAATGCCAATAAGCCAGGGAGGTGGTTAGCCTATCATCTAAGAAAGGAGAGAGAAAATCGAAGAATAGAGGGGTTAAAAGATAAGGGTGGAAGGTTGTATATTAACATGGAAGGTAAGAGAAGGGTGGTGCAAGAATTTTTTACTCAACTGTATAAAAGGGATGAAGAAGGGGAGCAAGATATTTGGACATATTTAGAGAGCACAGACTTGCCAAAAATTACTGGGACAATGAAACAATTGCTTAACGCAGAAATTACCGAGGGTGAGGTAGAATTGATTATGGGAAAACAAGCGAATGGGAAGACATCAGGGATGGATGGATTACCTGTAGAAATATACAAGATGGGTTTTGAGCTGCTGGGTAAGCACATGGTGGAACTATTTAACAGGGTGATGAAAGATTCCCAAATAACCGGCATCTTGGTCAGAGGCCTTCCTATTCTACCAAAGGCAGGCACTGATTTGACTCTTATTAAAAATTACAGACCAATTTCATTGCTTACTTCGGACTATAAAATGTTTACGGCACTTCTGGCCACGAGACTTGGATGTTTCTTAACCAATTTATCCACCCAGATCAGAATGGATTCCTGCCCAACTGACAGCTACGTGATAATATGAGAATGGTGATGAATATTTTACAGTATTATGAAAATTGTCCGGACAAACAGTTATCCTTGATTTTTGTTGACGCCCAAAAGGCGTTCAACAGAGTGAGCTGGGACTTTATGATTTCTCAGATGAAATACATGGATTTCAGTGAGAGGTTCATGGAAGCAGTGCAAGCAATCTACTGTGAACAGATAGCAAAAGTATTTATCAATGGGGAGGAAACAGAGAAGATTTGGATGGGTAGGGGTACACGGCAGGGTTGTCCACTCTCTCCGCTATTATTTATGCTAACACTAGAACCATTGCTTAAGGAGGTTAGGAGGAATACAGAAATAAGAGGAATGAGGATAGGCACCAGGAGATGAAAGCTCAGGCATATGTGGATGATTTCGTTTTCATACTGGAAGATCCATAGAATCAGGACTGAAGCTATTACAGGTACTTAGGGATTTTGGGAGAGTAGCAGGATTGCTAATTAACAAGGAAAAAATGAAAATATTAGTTAAAAACATGACAGGCAGAGGCAGAGATGTCAGTTGGAGGGACTCCTGGGGATGCAGATAACTAATAGAATAAAATATTTGGGAATTTGGCTGACAGCAAGGTGGTCATCGATAAAGGAGGATAATTATGTTCCCCTTTATAATCAGACAGTTAGAGATTTGGAGAGGTGGAAAAATTTACAGTTATCATTTATGGGAAGGATTGCTGCCATCAAAACGTACATCCTCCCCAAATGGTTGTTTTGGGGAAGACGTACGCCCCGGTAAGTTTGGATAGGGAATTCTTTAACACTTTGAACAGAGTTATTTCTAAATTTATTTGGCAAAGTAAAAAATCAAGGATTAAGCTCAAGATTATGCAGGAACCTAAAATTAGAGAGGGATTTGGACTCCCAAATTGGGAGCTTTACCATCAGGCAGCCATTCTGATAGGACTGGTTCACCTTGAAAAGGAGATGGCCATTGGCGGCAGAAGGTTATGGCCTTCAATATGGTTGGCATCACTTTTTATGGCCAGGACAGTCAGCCTGACCGAGGTGATTTTCGGAATCACTATTTACGTAAGATCCTAGGGGATACCTGGGAAAGACTTAGGAGAAAGTTGTATCTGAAGATACCATGTTGGATCTCGATTCAGGAGGCCCTAGTATACCCGATGTTATATAAAGGAGAGAAGGTCTTGACCTATGAAGATACTTTGGATACTCAGGGCAGACTGAAGACACGGGAACAACTGAGGTCGGAGGGATGTAACATAGACTGGTGGGCCTACATCCAAATACACTCAAGGTGGAAGGAAGATCAGGAGAGTGAAGGGATATATCATGGAAAACAAGAACTGGATAAAATCTTATTAGGTAATGACAGGAAAGTCTTATCGAAATGCTATTCTTATTTATTATTACTGAACGTGGGGGAGGAAGTCGTTAAAGACTCCATGATTGCTTGGGGGCAAAATATGGCTTATTCATTGGATCTTCAAAAATGGGAGGAGATTTGGCTTAAAAATTTAAAATTAACTATGGCATCCTCTTATAAAGAGAATATTTATAAAATGGTTTATCGATGGCACCTACCTCCAGCAAGAATAGCTAAAATGTTCCCCAGGACATCTCCACAGTGCTGGAAATGTGGGCATAGCAATGGAACCTACTTCCACCAATGGTGGACATGTCTGCTGGCAGCTAAATATTGGATAAAAATACGAAGATGGTTGCTTGAAATACACACTGTAGAGTGGAACTGAAACCGGAAACCTTTTTGTTGGGGGTTAGACCTGCAAATATTGGATTGACTAAATGGTATTTGATGCTGCACATAATTACTGCAGGGAGACTGGCATTCACACAAGAATGGAAGAATGAGGACTTATCAACGGATTCAAAAATAATTTATAAAATCATGGAATGTGCAGAGTCTGACAGACTTACAAAACTGATCAAGGGTAAAAGAGACTCAGACTTTTATGGTAGTTGGAATATATGGTATGATTGGATCCAGAAACAATGGGAGAGAGACAAAGGATAATGTTGGATTATTATTATAAATGATTGTATATTTATGGTAATCAATAAGTATTGGAAAGATAAATTTGTATACAAGAATCTGTAAATATTTTCTATTTTTACTCTCTGATTATTGGTGTATATATATATATATATATGGATATTTTGGCGATGTTACACCATGATAGAAAAATTACTATACATTTGTGGTTTTTTTTTTTTTGGTTTTTTTTTGTTTTTTTTTTTTTTGATGCTCTAATAATTTTTTTTTTTAAAAATTTAAAAAAAGAAGTCATTTTTTCCTTCCTATCAATACTATATCAACATTCATTATACTGAGCTTCACCATTTAAATAAGAGAAACTGGTTATGGTTAAGAAGTATTCACCACTACATCGGTATTGCCATATGCAAAAACCCTTGAGGAATTACACTGTTCAACATTTATTAGATTGCCCTTTAAAATGTCAACTATTATTATTGAATGAGATTTTCTGAACTGATGTTGAATTTTGCTTACGGTGATATCTATGGACAAATAAGGTGTAAAAATGTCCCTCTACCAGAAGACATTTTGTTAATAAGATTATTATTATTTATTTCAATTTCCTGCTGTTGATAGGAATCTTTATATGAGTTTTAACTTTAGGTGAAGCCTGTGATCGCTGTTCCAATCCCTTAAAACCTGTTTCAGAAGAAAAGTGATCTGTTCAGCTAACCATGCTTTATTTTCAGAGTTTGCCCTGCCATTGCTTTCTTATTTTAAGATAACAAGAAGCCTGAGGACAGGATGTTTATCTGAATTTTCTTACTGAATTCTTATAGATACGTTATTTTGTCTTTTTTTTTTTTAATTCAAAAGAAATACCATGAGAATGTGTTGGAAAACAAAAGATTGAAATAGCTCTGATTTTATTTGGCACTCTGAATGATGCATTGATCAAATTCCTTATTTCAGTGACTTTGACCACTTCCATTACAGATGCATTTTTTAATGTTATCTCTGTCAGAAGCTGGCAAAAAAGGAAGGCTTGGAGGAAAATTAGGAATTTCAAGTTCATCTCACTCCGGAATTCATCATCCATCCCAAAGGACTATATATATGTACTTATAACTTTTGTGTGTGTGTGTGTGTGTGTGTGTGTGTGTGCGCGCGCGCGCGTATACATACATACATACATGTGTGTTTATATACATACGTACATGCAATTAGAAATGGAACACAAATCTTCTAGGAGAGAGAGAGAAAACTAAAAAGAATTGCAGGTTTCCACATTTAATTTCAGATATTTTTATGGGTTTATAACCTCACAGTTTAATATACTTGATGTGAGGCTATAACTTGTAAGCATGAAATTTCTGTGCCATTTTTCTAATTTTCTGACTTCATTGTTCCAGTTTACGTGCTGAATTTGCAATCCATGATTCTCCAATCAATCAGCTGCATGGCAGCGCAAACACGAATGAAGCTACAAAGGAATTACAATTCTTCTTTCCTGTAGAAAACACTATGGCTCTCATTAAACCTTCTGCTTTTGAAGAGAAAGGTAAGATTAATATTACGAGGTGTTCATATTTTTCTCTTTGTGCACTTATATTAATTGCCTGTAAAATAAGTTATACCATTATAAAATTATTTCATCCCCATCTGCATATATCAACAAATCTCCTCACACATAAACTAATACACATAAACACATTCTTCTCCCTCCACTTAATAGCAACAGTAAGAAAATGAAGAGAACAGACAAAGTAAGGGGAAGAGGTAGCTAACCTGGGAATAGAAGGAAAAATAAAATGGGAGAAAAGTGGGTGTTTAAAAGGCAAAGGGAAGAGGCAATTGGACAGAGTAAAAAAAAAAAAAGACACTGAAGCCTTGCTTATGAATTATAGATAATTCTTCATTTATGACATGTCACTTACTGATCACTTCAAGTTGAGACCGACTCCCCCAACTTCCAATCCAGTTTGTAATTCCAGCAATTGCCCCTACCCAGGGGTGGGTTCTAAAAATTTTTACTACTGGTTCTGTGGGCGTGACTTATTTTGTGGGTGTGGCTTGGTGGGGAGATAATGTGACTGGGTGGGTGTGGCCAACTTTTTTTTTTTTTACTTTTAAAAGCATTTTTTCTACAACCTTAAGAGGTTGCAGGAAAAATGCTTTTAAAAGCCTCTGATGATCCCAGCTAAGCCACGTGATCATCAGAGGCTTTTCTGTTTTACTTTTAAAAGCACTTTTTCAGCCGAAGAGGTTGTAGAAAAAATCTTTTAATTTTATTTTTTTTTAAAAAAGCCTCTGATGAGTAAGCGAGCGACGACCAGGCCAGCGACTGGTTGTGGGGCATGGCCAGCCAATATTATTACCAGTTCTCCAAACTACTACAAATTTTTACTACCGATTCTTGCGAACTGATGCGAACCGGGAGCAACCCATCACTGTCCCTACCCCTGTGTTCATGTGATTGCATTTTGGGCATTTGGCAACCAATCCACAATTACATCCATTTACAGTGTCCCATAGTAAAAAAAACGCCCATTGAGTAAAATGTGGTTGCTTAACAACTCCAGTTTTCATTGAACAACAGTGGCATTCACTGAGCAATCGCAGCAAAAAAATGTCATAAAATTATGTGAGGTCACATGGTAACTTTTTGACTGGGACAACTTACGGCTGTAATTTCAGGTTTACTTACAGTTGTAAGACATCAACTAATTGTACAGAATTAACCTTAATTAGGCAAGCAACCAGTCCCATGCAAAAATCTCCAAGCAGAGGCATCTGCAGGGGAGTTCTTAAAAGCTCAAGATGGTAGCTTCATATTAAAGGTTCAGGTCTTCAATTGAACCATTCTGATTGCCATCTTAAGTTTTTTTTCCTCACACAAACCCTCAAACCACATTTTCAGCAGCCCGGTTTGTAGTAATTTTCATCTTCTACAATTATTTTGTAACAGATTTGTTTTTCTTATTCATAAATATAAAAGATCTCAATTCACAGCTATCATTTGGAAATAACACTTTCAGATAAACAGAAATTCTGTAACTAGGAGGAAAATAAAGTTTCTTTTTGTCAGTTTTTATACATTTGAACATATTTCATAGTTCAATACTATATTATACAATACTATACTATACTTTTAAGATTGAAATAGTGGAATGTTGATGTCCCCCTCTTCTTCTAGATAAAATTATAAATGAAGTAAAAGATGCTGGATTTCTAATCTCAGAATTGAGAGAAGCACACATAAGTCCAGAGATAGCAGCACAATTTTATCAAGATCATGAAGATAAGCCATATTATAATCAACTAGTGGATTATATGTCAAAGTAAGTGCCTGTTTTTGTTTTTTTGTTTTTTTAAAAAAAACAAGAACAAAATTTGATCAAAGCAAAACTGACTTCGAATTTGTCAGACAAAAAAATTTGCAAGGCTCACATCAAAGAAACAGTTTATTTCTTTTGTATCATTTTAAAAGAATAACAGAGTTGGAAGGGACCTTAGAGGTCTTCTAGTCCAACCTCCCTGTTCAAGCAGGAAACTCTATGGCAGGAGGGTCAAAGTAGCATTGTCACAGCATTGTCACATGACATATCAGGACTTTTTTCCCCTTTGCGAAACCGGGCATGGGTTTGGCCAGCAGCGCATGGCGCATCCAGTGGGCCGCAAGTTTAATAGTCCTGCTCTATGCCATTTCAGACAAATGGTTATCCATCTCTTCTTAAAATTCTCCTGTCATGCAGATCCATAACTTCTGAGGGCAAACTTTTCCCACTGATTAATTATTCTGTCAGGAAATTTGCCCTTATTTCTAGGCTGCTTCTCTCCTTGATTAGTTCCATCCATTGCTTTTTGTTCTGTCTTCAGATGCTTTGGAGAATATTGAAAGTTGACTCTCTCTTCTTTGTGGCAGTTGCTTAGATATTGAATGCTGCTATCATATCACCCCAGTCCTCTTTTTCATTAAACATACCTAATTCTTGCAATTGTTCTTCATATCTTTTAGTCTCCAGTCTCCCAATCATCTTTATTACTGTTCTTTGCCCTCTTTCTAAAATTTCAACATCTTTTTTTTATCATGGTGACCAAAACTGGATGCAATATTCCAAGTGTGGTCTTATCAAGGCATTATAAAATGGTACTAACATTTTGCATGATCTTGATTTTATGTTAGTAGATGATCAAAAGGTTACTAGAGGCTATTTTACACAATCGGCACTTTGAATTGATTAATTACGGTAAACTCTTGAACAAACAAACTGTGATGAAGTCCCTGTGCAAAAACACTGAAAATAAACCAATGCTTTGATTTCTTTTTTTAAAAAAAAATCAAGTTTTATTGATTGTTTCCCCCCCACATTCACCCACATATGTTTTGAACAGAGTATTGGCCATATCTTATCTTATACAATTAATCAAATTCAAATACATTTTACTCAATTACAATTTTTGCCACAATTTTCTTTTTTCACTTTTTTAAATCATATCTCAATATTTTTTTGCTTACTTATATAAACAGCATCTTCATTCGCCCCTTAAATTCTAATTTTACTGTTTATTCATATTTATTCCCTTTTATTCTTTAACAATTCATTCTTTATCTTAATATATTTGTGTTTGTTCGGGGTTGCCTTTCTTCCATTTCAACATTTTTTATTGTACAGCAATCTTTCTCCTCCAACCTACCATCTCCCTCTTTTCTTTCTTTCCTACTTTCTCTTCCCCTCCTCTTCTTCTCTTATCTACTTCCCCTCCCCTCCCCTCCCTGTCTCCTTCGCCTCCTCTCTTCCCCCCATCTTACCCTCTCTCCTACTCTAATTTCCCTTCCCTTCGTTCCTCCCTACTCTTCCTTCCCTCTCTCTCCTTCCTCTTCCCTTCCACCTCTCTTCTCCTCATCTCTCTCTATTGCTGAATTCATCTTCAATTTATATTTTCCACTATGGAGTCCAGGCAACCCCGATCTTTCATTTATCAAGTATATTTCACAAAATTCCTCTTATGTTTTTAGTTATAAACAGTATATTTCATCCTATTCCATTTTTCCCTTTAAATTTTTACCCAATCTTCCAATCCTTTATCTTCTTTACTTTTAACAATATGTTTTTTCTTCTTTACTTCTTGCAAGTATAACACTTAAATCATTTTTTAACATTTCAATTTCATTCAATTTTACATTCAATTTCAGTTTTCCATCATAATTTCAATTAATATTTATGTTACTTATTTCTCTCCATTTAATGCTTTCTCCAAAATCATTCTTTCTTTCACATTACACCTACACCCATCTATTTCATTTAACAACATTTTCACATATAATTTCTACCACTAACATCATTCTCTTTATTAACAAATTAACATTTTCACTGACTCTTAACCATTTTCCCTTAATCTCTCCACAACTCCATTTCTTGGTATTTTCCTCCCTTTCTCCCATTCCCTTACCTTCCTCTTTTTCCTTTTCTTGTATCTCCCCTTCAGCCTCTTTTCTTTAATTTTAACTCTATTAATTTTCTTTCTCAATCTTTCCCCATTTATTTCTCTTCTTTTCTTATTTGAGATGTATTTTCCCTTATCCATTCTTATTCTGTCACTGCTAAACCCAATGTAATCATCTTTATCTTTATTTTCAATTATTTCTTCTCCAATATTATCTCTTTGTTTCTTTTGTTTCTCATTCTTCTGTTCTCTTTCTTTTTTTGCATTCTAACCAATCTTCTGCTTCTTTGTTTCCCTTAAATGCTTCTCTTATTCTTTGAAACATCTCCCTCAATGTCTCATATTCCTCCTCCCAATTCTCCATATTTTCAATTTCAAAGGCTGAGATTTTTAAATTTATTCTTTTCCTTTACATATATTTCAAATTTCCAAGTCCATATAGTGTTCTCCCCCCCCCTTTAAATAATGTCCAATTCAGATCTTCACTTGAGCCAGCACCATTTCAGTCTTTGTCCTTTGTTCTCTTATCTTGGTAGAGCTGTATGAATTCTCTCACACCTCTTTCTCACGCTCTCTGCCAGCAGCTGTCTTTCTCTGATTCACAATCCTTTCCATAACAAAGTAGCCATCTTATAATACACAAAAGTGTTCACTTTCTCTTTTCCACACTTAATTTCTTCTGCTGTTTAAAATGTTTTTCTATCTTCTTTTCTTTGTCAATCCAGTTTTAAATCAGAATGGAAGATTTTTTCCAGGGCTTTAGGTTTGATTTTTAAAGTTCCGGGGTTTTTTTTTCTCCGCTTTAGTTTTCTGTGCAATTAGCCACCAATCTTCCACTACAATTTTTTCAAGCAATCAAAGACTTTTTTTCTTTTACCTGTGAGTTGGCCAATTATTCAGCAATTACCAGTAACAATACTCCGTTCAATTATCACTTCTACATTCCCTCTTTCTGATCGTGGCTGTTCTGGCTTGTGACAGCTCCTTAATGGCTGCCTTCCTTCGTCGACGGGTCAAAAACTAATGCCAGCATTTCAGGGAACTTGTTCATTCCCTATCCACGCCAGCCAGCATATTCTTTCTTCGCTGTCTCCACAAGACAGCTATGATCCCTGGGGATCCCCAAAATCAACTAGGATATTGGTGTTCTCCTGGAGCTCCAGAATCTACACCATATCGCCATGCCCCACATTGCCAATACTTTGGTTTCAAAGGCACCTTTTAATCATTAGTATATAAGTTCTCTCTGCTATGTCATTTCCAGTGACATATGAATCCTTAATCATACTTAATCATGACTGAAAAAAATATTATAAATTCTTCAGAGTAACGATCAAAACCAAAGTGGGAGAAATCAAGCTCTGAATGCCAGCTGTATATTTTTAAGTAATGTGCAACTGCACACCTTGTCAATAATTGCTGATGTCTCCCACATCTAATTATATCCATGCAGCTGATCTCCTGCCCCACAGAATATAGATAGCTAAGTAATTCAGAGTTCTTTGAGAGCAAAAAGGAACATTCTTCCTGCAGGCTGGATATACTCACCAAGGCTGACCATTGGATACTTCCCAGGAGGAAATATAGGAAAATGCCCATTCCCCTTGATTTCTTACTTGTTCAGTAAGATCTGTTAGAAGAACTCTGATATGTTTTCACAAAGTTCTTCAACCCTCACTCCCAGTTTGTACTGATTCCTGATTGTTCTTCACTCCAAAGTGCCATCCCGGCAAAGCCATGACATATCTAGTCACTTTTCAGCACCGTAGTAAAATAACACCATTGCAAATTCAGAATTAAAGTTTTTTAACAATTTTTTTTTTTTACAAAATAGAACATGTTTTAGGCGAATAGGCTCTATGATCCTTCTGCTATCCATACAGAAGCCTTCTTTCTCCTTCTATTTTTACTTGATTTTTATAGTCACCCATCTCAATAAGTAACTCTGGATAGCATGCATCATAATAATTAAAACAATACAAACTAAAACTATATGGTTGCTGAGTAAACTATTGCCATAGATGGTAGTATAATCTAGAAACAGGCCAGAAACATAATCTGGTCTTCATGGTCTTATGAAAAGCCAGCAACTTTGGGTCATCTTACTCTCTGAAGATTATTATTGTTCTTCATTGTTGTTGTTGTTGTTGTTGAAGATTATGAATCTACTGTATACCTTTGAATGTTCCAGAGGGCTATGGCAGAGAATGCATTTTTCCTAGTCCTTGGCTGATGGGTCTTGTAGTATGCTCAACCTACCAGATCAAATTGGACAGGTAGAAACAACTAGGAGAAGATGGTTCTTAAGTAACCCAGCTCCGAGCCATGAAGGGTTTCAAAGGTGATAACCAGTGTTTTGATTTGTACCTGGAGGTAGACTAGTAGCCAGTGCAGCTTATGTAGCAATGGTATTATATGTATCAAATATCTGACACCATTTATTATCCATCAGCCACATTCTGCATCATTTGAAGTTTCCAAATGCTCTTTGAGGGCAGCTCAATACAGACCACAGTGCAGCAATCCAAATGAAAAATCCCAGGGGCCTGAATCATTGTGATTAATCCAGTTCCTGGATTCTGATCCAGGAACTGGTGCAATTGGCACAAAACGCTAAGGAATTTAAAGACTGTCACAGCTGTCACCTGTTTTTCTAGTGGAAGCTGTGTGTCCAAGAGGACCCCCATTAGAACCATTTGGAGCCCCCCCCATCCAAGAGCAGCAGTGGAAAAACTTTGTTATTGGGACCCCAATCTTCCTTGGGTTGAGATAAAAACCATTGCACCCATTGCACCCACCTGCCTTATCCAGGCACTGGGGCAGGACAGCCACAGCATCACTCAGATGTACCAGGCTGAAGATATCATCAGCATGTTGATATCTCACCCCAGAC